AAACACGGTTACTACTACATATTGGGCCCCTGCGATGGAAGCCTGCTCTCCCCATCACAAATATTAAAGGACTCGACGTAATCTTCGGGAGAGACTTTTTAACAAATTCAACCCTGAGATCGACTGGGTTAACCGGACGGCCAACATCAACAACGAGCGGAAAATCGGCCTTCCCAAATGGGACGACACGGGAAATATTCCAATCGAGACACTCGCATGCTTTGAAAAGGACATCAAACGGACCACGGCAGGGTTTATGACAATAGTCAACAGAGCAGACAACGGAGAGAAGCAGACCAAGGAACTTCCTCAGCAATCAAGAAAATTCTTGAAGAGTTCCAGGACGTTCTCCCCGACGATTTACTGATCAACTACCGCCATACCATTCACACCAACACGAGATCGTAGAAGAGCCGGGGTCCAAACTGACGTTCCGAGCACCATACCGGCTGAGCCCGACAGAGCTTGCCGATATGAAAAAACAGATAGAGTATCTCTTGGAGAAAGGGCTCATTCGACCTTCGACTTCGCGGTACGGAGCTCCTGTTCTCTTCACTCCGAAGCCGGACGGAAGTCTACGAATGTGGATCGACTACCGAGCCTTGAATAAGCAGACTATAGAAAATAAGTACCCAATACCACGAATCGACGACTTACTCGATCAACTTCGCGGTGCTACGGTATTCTCCAAGCTCGACCTCAGATCGGGATACTGGCAAATTCGTATGGCGGACAACTCTCTCCACAAAACTGCCTTCCGAACTCGATATGGGTCGTACAAGTATCTCGTGATGCCGTTCGGACTCACCAACGCACTAGCCACGTTTCAGGCGGAAATTAACCACATCCTTCGGCCCCTTCTGGACGAGTGCGTGGTGGTATACGTGGACGACATCCTGATCTACTCGGAAGACATGAAGTAGCACGTTGAGCATCTGCGACGCGTTTTCAAAATTCTTCGACTGAGAACGATTCTACGCGAAATTATCCAAGAGCGAGTTTGCACTGAAGAAAGTCCAGTTCCTTGGACATATGGTGAGTTCTCAAGGAGTTCAAGTGGATCCAAAGAAGATCGAAGCAGTGCGAACGTGGAAGATCCCTGAGAATGTGAAAGAGTTACAGCAATTCCTTGAATTCGCCAACTACTACAACCTGTTCGTACCGAACTACGCCAAGATTGCCACACCATTAACGAACCTGTTGAAGAAGAATACGCCATATTAGTGGGAGGCGAAGCATAAGGAAGCCGTGGAACAGCTGAAAACCGCACTAACGTCCGCACCTATCCTTATTTTGCCAGACCCCGAACTTGACTATGTCATCGACGCCGATGCTAGCGATCAAGCAGTGGGTGCAGTACTCATGCAAGATCAAAGGAAGGGGCTGCAACCCATTGCATACCTAAGTCAAAAACTTCACGGGGCAGATCTCAATTACCCTATCCATGACAAAGAGGCCCTCGCCATCATCAACGCATTCAAGGCATAGAGGTGTTATCTCGAAGGGAGAAAGATGACCGTCTACACCGACCACTGCAACCTCAAACATCTGAAAACCCAACCAACACTCTCTAGGCGGCAGGTTCGGTGGATGGACTCCCTTGAAACCCACTTCCATTACGACATCGTGTATAAGCCAGGGCATAAGAACAAGGCTGACGCACTCAGTCGCCCTGCACACGTTGCCGCCCTACAAGTCGATGGCATGAACCCACTCTTGAAGGGACTCTTCAAGCATGGATACACCATCGACCCCGAAGTCTCTGTAGCAGAAAAGCGCCATCTTCTACATTGGGATCAAGACATCGCATACCGCAAGGGATCCACAAAAATATGGGTACCTAATTACCCTCTGTCAGAAACAAGAAGTGCAAAAGAAGAATGACGAAAGAGGGGTTTCACTAGCAGCAGTTGGGATACATATAGCAAACCCTAACTGGGTTGTACTCGCTATAGAGCACCCCAATATAGGCTAGATAACATCATTCTGACACACCCCCATAGCCAAAGTGGGGTGTAATCAGCACAATGAGCAGACATAGTAATAGTTCACAATTATAAGCAAAGCTAGAGGCGTTCACAGAGGACAAGTGAGGAGGAGGAGGAATTGTGAAGGGAGAGAAGATGGGAGACGACGGCTGAAGCTACAGACACACGGGCAACAGGAGGACTGGCACAGTGGCTACCGAGCGCACGAGGGCACCGGACTACGGGAGTATCTGGCTCCGCGGCTACGATGAGCGGCAGGAGCAACGGACCCACAGGCGACTGGCACAGCAAGGCTCTCTGGGCTACCGAGAGCGCGACGGCTCCGGACTACAGGCGCTGCGCACGACACGACGCCGGCCTCCTCTTAGCCTCCCCAAACAGTCCCACCTCCTTTCCACACACCCCCTGCTGCACCCCTAGCTCCACTCCCACGTCACCCCCACAACTCCACTCCCCGCGGCTCCCACACCTCCACCCCCCTCAGCAGCAGCTGCAGCAGTGGGAGATGAACAAGGAGGAGGGGAACACCCACACCGCGCACCCCCATGCTTGCCACCCCACACCCCCCACCACCGCAGAACGCACGGCGGCACGGGAGGAATGGGCAGCACGGGGAGGGGGGGGGGGGGGGGGGGGGGACGGGACAGAAGGGGGGGGGGGGGGGGCGCGCGCTCCTCCTCAGGGCGCCAAAACGGACGGGCGGGGGGGCGCGCGCGGTTCCCCAGGGCGCCGCGACAGACGGGCGGGAGGCGCGCGCGGCTCCCCAGGGCGCCGCGACGGACTGGCGGGGGCCGCGCGCGACTCCCGAGGGCGCCGCGACGGACGGGCGGGGGGCGCACGCAGCTCCCCAGGGCGCCGCGACGGACGGGAGGGGGCCACACGCTACTCCCCAGGGCGCCGCGACGGACGGGCAGGGGGCGCACGCTGCTCCCCAGGGCGCCGCGACGGACGGGAGGGGGGGCGCGCGCGGCCTGCACGGCGACGCGACGAGACGGGCGGGGGCTGTGCGCGGGTCCCCACAGCAGAAAACCGCCGCGCGCCCCGAGCGCACGGCGGGATGAAGAAACCCTAAAAAATTTCGCAGCGCGCTCCGCGCGCGGCAGGAAGGAGATGTCGCGCGCCCGAGGCGCGCGAGAAGTAGAACAGCAGCGGAAGCAGTTAGGTGGCGGGCCCACCCACAGGATCGACCCAAAGGGGTCGACCTGCTCTGATAGCATGTCAGAAACAAGAAGTGCAAAAGAAGAATGACGAAAGAGGGGTTTCACTAGCAGCAGTTGGGATACATATAGAAAACCCTAACTAGGTTGTACTCGCTATAGAGCACCCCACTATAGGCTAGATAATATCATTCTGACACCCTCCTTTATGCCAGTTACTACTCGAAGAATATCATGATGTTCTCTACGCGGGCCACTTCGGTAGTAACAAGACGCTTGCCGGTATTGCGATGTCAAACTCATATGCTATAGTCTATGTAGGCTGTAGTGGGGTAGACAATATGGGGTACAACACTTTAGGTTTTCCTACTTGTACCCACCTACTTGCTAGTTCATTCATTCCTCATTTCTTCACATGGTATAGAGCAGGTTCCCTAGTGGAAACGCTTCTTAGGGCCCACCACTGAAATCGATTTTTTTTTTTTTTCTGACCGGAGCGCGAGTCGCCCCTGCCCGAGGCGCGCCCCGTGGGCCGCCCTCTCGTCGCGTCCCCTGCCCTTAGCGGCCTGTCGCGCCCTCCTAGTGGCCCCTCGCGCCACCCTTAGCGGCCCTGTCGCCACCCCTAGCGGCCCCGTCGCCACCCTATACGGCCCCGTCGCCGTCCTTTGCGGCCCCGTCGCCGCCCTTCTAGGCCCCTCGCGGCCCCTTCGCGGCCCCGTCGCCGCCCCTAGCGTCCCCGTCGCCGCCCTTCTAGGCCCCTCACGGCCCCTTTGCGGCCCCGTCGCCGCCCCTAGCGGCCCCGTCACCGCCCTTTGCGGCCCCGTCGCCGCCCTTCTCGGCCCCTCGCGGCCCCTTCGCGGCCCCGTCGCCACCCCTAACGGCCCCGTCGCCGCCCTTCGAGGCCCCTCGCGGCCCCTTCGCGGCCCCGTCGCCGCCCCTAACGGCCCCGTCACCGCCCTTCGAGGCCCCTCGCGGCCCCTTTGCGGCCCCGTCGCCGCCCCTCGCGGCCCCGTCGCCGCCTCTAGCGGCCCCGTCGCCGCCCTTCACGGCCCCTCACGGCCTCTTCTCGGCCCCGTCGCCGCCCCCTTTCGGCCCCTCCCCGGCCCCTTCACCGCCGAGCCGCCGAGCCGCCAAGCAGCCGAACCGCGGAGCCGCCGAGCCGCCGAGCCGCCGAGCCGCCGAGCCGCCGAGCAGCCGAGCCGCCGAGCCGCCGAGGCCGCCAAGCCACCACTACCAAGCCGCTGCTGCCGAGCCGCCGTCGAGCCGCTACTGCCACTGCCGAGCCGCTGCTACCGCGGTTGCAGCCCTGTTCCTACCGGCGCGCCCCGGCCCTACCTGCCCAGACTGGTGAGAGCACTCCCTGCTAGACCACTGCTGTCATGGCTACCCCCAGTGTCCTTACCTTTGATGCTGAGGGTCGTGCTGTTGACTTCGAGGTCTGGGTCGATGACCTACAGCTCTTCCTACAGTGCGATAGGGCAGACGGACTCTCTCTGTTCGATCTCACCTCTGGTGCCTCTCCTGCCCCGCCTACTGATGCTGACAACACTGTTCGCTCACAGTGGGCCACACGCGATGCTGCTGCCCGTCTTGCTGTGCGTCGCCACTTACCGACCGCTGAGCGTGCGCACTTTAGTCAGTACAAGAATGCTAAGACCTTGTACGACGCTGTAGTTGCACGCTACTCTTCCCCTGCCACTGCTGCTCTTAGCCGCCTCATGCTGCCGTACCTGTTTCCTGACCTCGCCGCCTTTCCCACTGTCGCTGACCTCGTTACACACCTTCGCACTAGTGACACCCGCTACCGCGCTGCGCTTCCTGCTGAGTTCTGCGCCAAGAACCCCCCCCCCCCCCCATGTACATCACCCTCTACTACATAGTCACCCGGCTCCCTGACTCCCTTCGCTCGGTCAGGGACCACTTCCTCTCTGTTTGCCCCACCACACTCACCGTTGACCTCCTCGAGGAGCGCCTCCTGGCAGCTGAGAAGAGTATAGTCGCTGTAGGAGCCTCTCGAGGTGACCCTCGTGCCCCTGTCTTTGAGGGGTGCTCCCCCTCCCCCCTTTTGCCCTCTGTTGCCTCTGCTGCTGCCGTCGACTTCGTTGGCACCGAGTCGGTCGACGCTGCGTCTGCCCCTAGCGGGCGACGCCGCACCGGCAAGGGCAAGGGGGGCAAGGGCACTGGAGGGGCTGGCGGGGGCGGTGAAGGTGGCGGTGGAGGAGGCGGAGGGAGTGGGGGTGGTGGTGGGAGTGGTGGCGGGGGTGGGGGCTTCGGTGGCGGCGGTGGCGGCGGAGGCGGCGGCAGCGGTGGCGGTGGGAGCGGAGGAGGAGGCGGTGGCGGCGGTGGCGGAGGTGGCGGCGGAGGAGGTGGAGCTGGTCAGGGTGGCTCTGCGCAGCGGAGCGGCTTTGGTGGTGGTCAGCGCCAGCAGCAGCAGCGCACTCGTGAGACCCCGCCCCCCCAGCAGCTTCGTGAGTGGTACGCTTCGCGTCAGCGGGGTGGGGGTACTGGTCCCTGTACCTACGTCCTGCGTACCGGCGACCGTACGGGTGAGCAGTGCGGGGGTCCGCACCCCACCCAGCGCTGCTTCGGCCGCCTGACGGACGCCTGGCGTCTCCAGTTCCCTGACGCCACTGAGATCCCTCGCTGGGGAGAGCTGCAGAGGTCGGGGGTTGCTATCTTTGATCTTGATTATGATGCTATTCTTGCTGCCATGTATGCTGTGTCTACTAGTGATGAGGGTGACTGTTACCTGTGTGTTCCGCCTGACCCGGGCATTGAGGTTGCTGCTCTAGGTGCTGGTGAGGCTACTGCTCTAGGTGCTAGTGCGTCTGCTGCCCCAGGTGCTGGTGAGTCTGCTCTCTCAGGTACCACGTCGGCTCAGGCCTTACACACCTTCACCCTCGACTCGGGTGCTTCCCGCTCCTTCTTTCGAGACCGCACCATGCTTACGCCGCTTAGTCGGCCGGTTGCGGTCTCCCTGGCGGACCCCTCTGGGGGTCCTGTCCTTGCTCACTTCTCCACTGTGTTACCGTGTCCGGCAGCCCCCTCTGGCACCCTGTCAGGTCTCTACCTCCCCTCGTTCTCTACGAACTTGGTGAGTGGTGCTGATCTACAGGATGGGGGGGTTGACCAGTTCACTCCTGCGAGTCAGCGGGTGACCCACTGTACGTGTGCTCGGACGGGCCGACACTTGGCCACGTTTACCCGTCGGCCGGGGTCGAGCCTGTACACACTGACTACTGAGTCTCCTCAGGTTGCTGAGTCTGGTCAGGTGTTTGCTGCAGCGTCCAGGTCTGGTCCTGAGTCTGCTCCCTGCTCGTGTCGTCTCCTGTCCCACCAGACTCTCCTCTGGCACCACCGCCTTGGTCACCCCTCCCTGCCTCGTCTCCGAGGCATGGCCTCCCGTGTCCTTGTCTCTGGTCTCCCGCGGTCCCTCCCTCCCCTCCCTCCGGGGCCTGCCCCTACCTGCGTTCCCTGCGTCGAGGGGCGGCAGCGCGCCGCCCCTCACTCCTCCGAGTTTCCTCCGACAGAGGCTCCGCTGCAGACTCTTCACATGGACGTGTGGGGCCCCGCCCGCGTCCGTGGCTAGGGTCACGAGCGTTACTTCCTGTTGGTGGTTGACGACTACTCGCGTTACACCACGGTGTTCCCCTTGCGCAGCAAGGGTGACGTCACTGAGGTGTTGATCGACTGGATCCGCGCGGCTCGTCTCCAGCTCAGAGACAGTTTCGGCTCGGACTTTCCGGTTCTGCGTCTGCACTCTGACAGAGGCGGGGAGTTTTCCTCTGCCCTTCTGGGAGCCTTCTGTCATGCACAGGGCATCCGCCAGACCTTCACGCTTCCGGCCTCTCCACAGCAAAATGGGATTGCTGAGCGCCACATTGGCATGGTCATGGACGTCGCTCGTACGTCCATGATCCATGCGGCTGCTCCCCATTTTCTGTGGCCGTTTGCGGTTCGGTACGCAGCGCATCAGATCAACCTTCAGCCCCGGGTCTCCTTGCCGGAGACCTCCCCCACCTTGCGGTGGACGGGGAAGGTTGGCGATGCGTCTACGTTTCGTGTCTGGGGATCTCGGGCGTTTGTCCGCGACTTGTCTGCGGACAAGCTGTCCCCTCGTGCTGTTCCCTGCGTCTTCCTTGGCTTCCCCTCTGACGCGCCTGGTTGGCAGTTTTACCACCCCACCTCGCGCCGTGTTCTGTCCTCCCAGGATGTCACCTTTGACGAGTCGGTGCCTTACTACCGTCTCTTCCCCTACCGCACTGTGCCCCTCCCCCCGCCGCCGCTCTTCCTTGCACCAGGTCCCTCCCCGGTAGACCCCCTCACCCCTCAGGGTCCTGCCCCGTCAGGTGTGTCCCAGGTAGACGCAGTCGAACCTGTCGAGGTAGCTGTTGACTCTGGTGCTGCTAGGGGTGCTGAGCCTGGGGGTGCTGAGTCTGGGGGTGCTGAGTCTGGGGGTGCCGAGCCTGGGGGTGCGGAGCCTGGGGGTGCGGAGCCTGGGGGTGCTGGGCCTGGGGGTGCGGAGCCTGGGGGTGCTGAGCCTGGGGGTGCGGAGCCTGGGGGTGCTGGGTCTGCTCGTGTGGCCTCTGGCGGTGCTGGGTTTGGGGCCCCTTTGGGTGCTTCGTCGAGGCGGGAGCTACCCTCTCCACAGGAGCTGCGCGAGTGGTTTGACCGGCGCTGGAGCCGTGCTGGTGGAGCTGGAGGTGCTGCTGTTACTGTTGACCCTGGGGTCGGCACTAGAGTTACTGGAGCCACTGGTCCTGGAGGTGCTCGTACTGGCGGTACTGGAGCTGCTGGGACTGGGGGTGCTGCTGGGGCTGCTGGAGTTGGTCCTGCTGGAGGTACTGCTGGAGCTGCTGGCGGTACTGGAGCTGACGGTCCTGCTGGAGTTGGTGCTGCTAGAGCTGCTGGAGTTGGTGCTGCTGGAGCTGCTGGAGTTGGTGCTGCTGGAGCTGCTGGAGTTGGTGCTGCTGGAGCTGCTGGAGTTGGTGCTGCTGGAGCTGCTGGGGGTGTTGGCGCTGGTGGTGCTGCTGGCGCTGGTGCTTCTGAGGGTGCTGGAGTTGGCGCTGTTGGAGCTGGAGGTGCTGCTGGCGCTGGTGCTGCCGCTGGGGGTACTGGTGCTGTCCCTGCTGGTTCTGGAGGCGCAGCGCGTCCGCGGCCGTACTTCGTTCCGCTCCTTGAGCAGGTTCTTGGTCTCCCGCCCTCTACTGGTCTTGCTCCTCCCTTAGAGTGTCCACAGCCTGTCCAGTCACGGTCACAGTTACAGCCCGCCTCCCCCCTACCTGCTCCTTCTCCCTACACTGGTCCTACTGGAGGTCTTGCTGAGCGTCGTGAGCCTGCGTCTCGTCCTGCGTTGCCTGTTCGTGCTGCTCGCACTAGTAGTCGTGCTCCGCGTCCGCGTCCTCCTTCGGTCCCAGGCACACACCAGATGGCACTGCGTCCTTCCACTGCTCCTCTGCGTGTCCCGTTGCCGTCTCCTCCAGAGTCCTCTCTTCCTGTTCTTGCTGACCCGGAGTCTGACTCTCTTCGTGCTGCCGGTCCTACAGTCACGCGTCTCCTGGCTACTGTTGTCACTGACCCTTCCTTTGAGTCCACTGCTGCTTCTGCCTTAGTTGCTGAGCTTGTCGACTTTGCTGCTCGCTGTCGGCTCGACTACGCCGCTAGTCTCATTGCTGAGTCTGAGTCTGTCTGTCCTCCGTCCGTCGGGGGTGTGTGTGCTCTTAGCACGGACGTCCTTGAGGACAGACCGGAGGAGTTCCAGTGTTTTCCTGCTGCTTTGCCTCATCTCGTGTCCACGCTGATTGCCCCTGAGGGAGACCCGGATGCACCAGACATCCCGACTCCTCGATCGTACGCTGAGGCGATCGAGGATCCCTACTCCTCACAGTGGCAGTCAGCCATGGACGCAGAGATGGCTTCCTGGAAGTTCACAGGCACCTACGTCGACGAGGTTCCCCCACCTGGGGCGAACATCGTCAGTGGCATGTGGATTTTCAGGGTGAAGCGGCTGCCGGGTTCTCCGCCTGTCTTCAAGGCGCGTTACGTGGCTCGAGGCTTCAGTCAGCGGCAGGGAGTTGACTACTTTCAGACCTTCTCTCCCACCCCGAAGATGACCACTCTTCGGGTGCTGCTGCACATAGCCACTCAGCGCGACTACGAGCTTCACTCTCTTGACTTCAGCACAGCTTTCCTGCAGGGCAGCCTGCACAAGGAGATCTGGCTACGCCGTCCACCTGGCTTCACTGGGTCGTTTCCTCCTGGTACCCAGTGGAGCCTCCGGCGGCCAGTCTACGGTCTCCGCCAGGCGCCCCGTGAGTGGCACGACACACTGAGGACTACACTTGCGGCTCTTGGGTTTGCTCCTTCTACTGCCGACCCGTCGCTGTTTCTGCGCACCGACACCTCTTTGCCGCCGTTCTACATCCTCGTGTACGTTGACGACTTGGTCTTTGCTACTGCTGACACTGCTGGACTCGCCCACGTGAAGTCCGAGCTGCAGAAGAGACACACGTGCACAGACCTGGGTGAACTGCGCAGCTACCTTGGCTTGCAGATCACCCGGGACAGAGCACAGCGCACCATTACCCTGACTCAGTCACACATGGTGCAGCAGGTCCTTCAGCGCTTCGACTTCACGTACTCCTCGCCTCAGGCAACTCCTCTGTCTACTCGCCACTCGCTCTCAGCTCTGCCTTCGGATGAGTCCGTAGAGCCGAGTGGCCCGTACCCAGAGCTTGTTGGCTGCCTCATGTACCTGATGACCTGCACACGACCTGACCTTGCATACCCTCTTAGCATCTTGGCACGCTATGTTGCTCCTGGGAGACACCGACCAAAGCACATGGCTGCAGCGAAGAGGGTGTTGCACTACTTGTGCAGTACGTCGGGCATGGGGCTAGTGCTTGGAGGGCGACGTTCAGTGGTTCTCACAGGTCACGCAGACGCTTCTTGGGCTGACGACCAGGCTACGCAGCGGTCGTCACAGGGTTACACCTTCAGCCTTGGTTCCGGCTCTGTTTCGTGGCGGTCTACCCGCTCGTCTTCTGTTCTCGGCTCCAGCTGTGAGGCTGAGATCTACGCGGGGGCCATGGCTGCACAGGAGCTACGCTGGCTCACCTACCTGCTGACTGACCTAGGAGAGCCGCCTCGTTCTCCTCCAGTGCTGTACGTAGACAACAAGGCCATGCTGGCCTTGTGTCGGGAGCACAGACTGGAGCACAGAACGAAGCACATTGCTCTTCGCTACTTCCTTGCTCGTGAGCTGCAGCAGCGTGGTCAGCTGCGCCTTGCTTACGTGGCCTCTGAGGCCAACACTGCTGATATCTTTACCAAGGCACTTCCGCCTTGTGATCATCAGCGCTTCTGTACGATGCTAGGTCTTGTGCCTACTTGGCCTCACTTGCTCACTTCTTGACCTTGCTTGTACTGTGATCTTTCTATACCTGCACTTGTTTGTTTACCTTTATATATGATCCTGCATGTGAACTGGCCTTGTGGCCTTGCACTTGTGCTCGGAATGTGTGGTGACGTTGTGATCCACCCTGAGCTTGCTTTGCTTTACTTGACTGGTCTTGTGACCTCTTGTTCTCCCCCACTTTGCCTATGGGGGTGTGTCAAACTCATATGCTATAGTCTGTGTAGGCTGTAGTGGGGTAGACAATATGGGGTACAACACTTTAGGTTTTCCTACTTGTACCCACCTGCTTGCTAGTTCATTCATTCCTCATTTCTTCACATGCGAAGCATTATTATTGGCCCCACATGGCGGATGACGTACAAAAAATTGCCACCTCGTGCGACACATGCCAACGGATGAAGAGCAGCAAGCAGAAGAAAGCCGTGTTACTACAGCCTCTTCCCGTCCCTGAACAGCCTTAGCAAGTGTTCAGCTTGGACTTCATCACCGGGTTACCACCTACCAAAGCTGGTTACGATACCATCCTGGTTGTCATCGACAATTTTTCCTAAATGGGACACTTCATCCCGACACACACAACGGCTCGCACCGAAGAGAGTGCAATTATTTTTCCGCTACGTCATCTCGCAACATGGCATTCCAACAATGCTGATCTCCGACAGAGACCCGAAATTCACGAGTAAATTCTGGAAGGAGCTCATGTCGCTCATGGGGACCAAACTCGCCATGTCATCAACCTATCATCCCCAAACGGATGGTCAGACAGAGCGCCTCAACCAGATTGTCGAACAGCTTCCGCGAGCAGCATGTAAGGACGATATCTCTACATGGGATGCGCACCTGCCGGTTCTCGAGTTTGCGTATAACAACGCCATGCACGCCACAACAGGGCAAACTCCTTTCTTCCTCTGTTACGGTCGTAACCCACTCACGCCTCAGAAACTGATAGTACCTGCCACGGTGCAACCTGCACATGACTTCATTACCGCTATGCACTAGTTGTGGGAGCGCACGCATAAACGACTTTTGACTATCCAGCAGCAACAAAAGAAGCTCGTTGATCGGAGTCGCAACGATCATTCAATCAAGATTGGCGATCAAGTGCTTCTGGATACACGCAATCTCGACATCAGCCATCTTCCGTCTAAGCTTCGACCTTGCTTCTGCGGACCTTTTCTCGTCGCGGCGCAGATCACTCCAGTAACCTTCCGCTTGCGTTTACCAGCTACCTGGAAGATTCACAATGCTTTCCTTGTTCAACTTCTCAAGACATATCAGGACCCAAACACTGTCTTCAAAGGTCGCCAGCCGCCGTCGCCACCGCCAGTGATCGTTAATGGGGAACCTGAGTACGAAGTCGAAGTCGTTCTAGCACACCGACGACGACGTAACGGCACCTTGGAGCTCTTGATTCATTGGAAATGCTATGATCCTTCCGAGGATAGCTCGGTACCTGAACAAGACATGGATAACGCCCGTCGTCCTCTCCAGTACTACCTTGTCAAGCACGGTGTTACTTCTGCCACCCAGCTTTGAGGGGGGGAAGTGTGAGAGGACATCCCTGTTATAATATTTTCTGATTTATATTTTTCCTTTATCTTATTCTCCTTCTTCTCCTCTTTATTTTGGTCTTTATTTCATCTCAATCGGCCTACTATTCTATTTTCTAGAGCCTTCTATTTATTTCTCTTATTTCCTACTTTTCCCACCGACATATCTATTATACGGCACCGACAGCGCCGACAGTGGTGTATACGGTGTAATCTGGGTGTAATCCGAAGTGCCAATAGCCTTGCGTGCTTGTGCGCACTTGTGATTGTAGTATCGGGAAGGGTGTGTTCTCGAAGGTTCGTTTTATCTCATTTATCCTTGTATGTACCGAGTATAAAAACGCCTTGTATTCAGTTTTAGTGACAATTTTTGATTGAGAATTCGATCCTGTGACATACGCGATGCACCACGCCGTGCGGGTGCACAACCTGCTTTCAACGACCGCCATCACCGGTAATCTGCCCCTGGATATATAGTGGACGGGGACAAAAGGGGACACATTCATGCTCCGCGTGTGGGGGTGCATGGTGCAGTACCGCCCGCCAATGTCAACTATCGGGCAATTCACAAGCCGCGCACGATGGGGAATCCACCTCGGCATCAGCCACGAGCACAAGGCATAGATTATCTTGGATCTACTAAGCCAGAAGACTACTCACGCGCGCGACGTTATTTTATACGAGCGGCTCTTCCTTGAGCAATTCCGCGACGACGAGCGTACGAAGCGGAAGAGGCGCAACATCACTACCACCACCTGAACCAGAGAGGGATAACGATGACGTGCAGGAGGTCATCCCGCAGCATTGCCATGACAGCACAACCTCTGGACTGCAGCTTCTCAGGCTTCACACCGCCACCTCAACGGCGCCACGTGTCATCGAGCCAAAAAATCCGCACCAAGCCCTCACGGGACCACACAGCAAGGAATGGCGCGAGGCGATGGATGCGGAAATCAAGGCGCTCGAGTCTTGCGACATCTGGGTACTCATCGACCGTGCCACAATCAAAGGAGCAAGGATTCTCTCCGAAAAATGGGTCTTCCGTGTGAAGACCGCGGCGGACGGCACAATCGAACGGTTTAAAGCACGCTGGGTGGTGCGTGGCTACGATCAGAGGCACGATATCGAATTCGATCAAACATTTGCGAAAGTCAGCCGTCACACCTCCATGAGAATTATGCTCGCCATCGCAGCCGCAAGGCACCTACTGCTGCGCCAAATTGACATGAAGAATGCGTTTCTGTACGTGTTAGTAGATGCCGTAATCTACGTGGAGCAGCCGCACGCATACGGCGAAGGAGTTTCACGCGTGTGTCAACTACGAAAGTCCCTTTACGGGATCAAGCAAGCGCTAAGGCTCTGGTAGCAATACCTGCACAACATTCTCCTCGAGATAGGCTTCAAGCAGATGCCTCATTATCCTGGAACGTACCGCCGCGATTTCCGCGGAGATTACATTCTGCTCACCGTCTACGTCAACGATTTGCTCTACACAGGGTCGAGCAACGAACTGCCCGAGCAATTCGAGAGGAACCTGGGTGAGCGCATCGACA